TTTCTAAACTTTCTAAAGCACACTAAGTGAAACAATACTGAATTGTTTAAAAGTTATTCTCATTTGCTGGCTGGGAGCAGTGTCTCACGCCTGTAATTCCAAAACTTTGGGAAGCCATGGTGGGTGGATCACTTGAGGTCAGGAAATTAGAGACAAGCCTAGCCAACATAGTGAAACCCCGTCTCTACTAAAAATACAGAAATTAGCCGAGCATGGTGGCGCATGCCTATAATCCCAGCTACGAGGGTGGGTGAGGCATGAGAATCGCTTGAACCTGGGAGATGGCGGTTGCAGTGAGTCGAGATTGCGCCACTGTACTCCAGTCTGGGTGATGGAGTGAGACTCTGTCTCAAAAAAACAAATGTTATTCTTATTTGCTATGTTACTAATGTAGTAAGCAGATAATACACCAATACAATTAAACTGAAGGTTTAAAGGGAAACTGGGTTGTAAGAGGCAATATTTCTCATTCGCTTTATTCTGAAGCCATATCCTTAAAGTTGGACTAGCATTTCAAGAGTTCCTAGGCTGGGCGCAGTGGCTCACGCCTGTAATCCCAGCACTTTGGAAGGCCGAGGTGGGCAAATTACCTGAGGTCAGGAGTTCGAGACCAGCCTGGTCAACACTGTGAAACCCCATCTCTACTAAAAACACAAAAAACTTAGCTAGGCATGGTGGTGCATGCCTGTAATCACAGCTACTCAGGAGGCTGAGGCAAGAGAATTACTTGAACCCAGGAAGTGGAGGTTGCAGTGGGCCGAGATCACGCCACTGTACTCCAGCCTGAGTGACAAAGGGAGACTCCGTCTCAAGAAAACAAAAAAACAAGAGTATCTGATGAAAAAAGTTACAGAACTGTATGTATTTTTTATATAGATATATAAAGTGAGATAAATTAGACAACTGCAATTAATTTAGGCTTATCTATGGATGAATTTTTTTTGGAATATACAAGACTGTGGTTACCAGTCTATACCCACTGTCTTCTTTTTTTCATGAACACGGGTTATGGGTTAACATTTTAATATAAACATTAGAGGCTTCTGAAGTAAATAAAGTCAACTTATATTTTTTAGAAAAAATTAGTACACTGGCCATAGGCAGGCTCAAGAATCAAGGGTACATTCAAGGAGTCAAGGAGACCAAGTCATCTCAGCATGTCATACGATGCTCAGCTGGCCTGGCACGGTGGCTCACTCACACCTGTAATCCCAGCACTTTGGGAGGCCGAGGAGGGAGGACCGCTTGAGCTTGGGAGTTTGAGACCAGCTCAGGCAACATGGTGAAACCCTGTCTCTACAAAAATTATAAAAGTTAGCCAGGCATGGTGGCGTGTGCCTGTAGTCCTAGCTACTTGCAGGGCTGAGGTGGGAGGACTGCTGAGCCAGGGAGGCTGAGGCTGCAGTGAGCTGTGTTCACGCCACTGCACTCCAGCCTGGGTGACAAAGCAAGATTCCGTTTCGGGGTGGGGGGAAAAAAAGAAAAAGATACACAGCCATCTCAGCATGGGCCTTGGAACCCTGGGATCAAAGAAAAGGTTAGGTAAGCTGGTTGCTAACAGAACTTTAACAGTTTAAGAGACACACAGGACTAGTCCTGTGGTAGTGGGTTATCAGAACTTATAAACATTAGTGTCACTAAAGCTGGCATACAACTCCCCCACTGCTAAATTTGACTGGCTTAAAAAAAAAAAAGAAATACACAGGAAAGCAATATAATACAGTAGAAATCCCGAAAGCTTTGAAGTCCAGAGAATTCAAATCCAGTTTAGTTACTTAGCAACCATTAATTCTTATAACTAAAGCAAATTATTTAGATGCTCTAGGCCTCAGTTTCCACATCTATAAAATAATAGAAATCTTTACATAAATGGTTCCCCATCTTTATATACACAACGGTCCCCATTTACAAGGTTTTTAGAAGTCTAAAGATTTCCCATAAAATAATCATATTTTCAGTACCTAAATACTGAAAGTCTTTGGAAATCATGGAGGTTTTAAAGTTTGATAATACCTAAAGTTGGTAACAACATGGGGAAAGAGCTATTGGTGGGCACTTATTTAGAGCAACCTATTAGGGTAACTTGACAATATCTATCAAATTATAAACACCTGATCCAGCAAATCTCACCTCTAAGACTTTACATCGCAGATATGTTTTACACAGTGGGCAAAGACACATGCCTGAGAACGTTCACCACAGCATCATTTGTAATCACAAAGGATGGCGACCCTAACAAATGTTCCACAATAGGGGAATGCATATATAAATGGTTATATCCCCAAATTAAAAACCATACACTCTTGTAACAGCAATATAAACTGATAAAACATTTCTAGATGGCCAAACCAGGAATAATACTGATCACAATTCTTAAAAACTGTGATGACCTTTGAGCCAACAGTTTGTTTCAGAAATATATTCGCAGAACTAATCAACGATGAGAGAAAAGATGCAGAGATAGGAAAGTTCACTGAAGCTCCTTAAAATGGCAATATACCCTCTTACAACCCATTGTTAATAAGTTAATCAAATAATGGGAAATACAGTCATCAAAAATGTTATAGATGACTATTTATTAAAATAAGATACTATTAAGGGGAAAAGGCAGGCAGAGTAATGTACAACTTGTATAATCTTTTTTTGTAAAAAGAAAATCACATATAACATACAGATGTATATAAAAATAAATATTGTACAGAATAAAAGTAACCACCAGTTATCTCCAGGTGGTGGGATTATGGTTAAACATTTTTTTTCTTCCTTTTGAATTTTTTTTTACTTTATAGTTTTTCTACAAAGCATATATTATTTCTGTAGTACTAAAGCTGTTTCGGTTTTATTTTATTTATTTATTTATTTATTTTTTTTGAGAGGGAGTCTCGCGCTGTCGCCCAGACTGGAGTGCAGTGGCCGGATCTCAGCTCACTGCAAGCTCCGCCTCCGGGGTTTGCGCCATTCTCCTGCCTCAGCCTCCCAAGTAGCTGGGACCACAGGCGCCGCCACCTCGCCCGGCTAGTTTTTTGTATTTTTTAGTAGAGACGGGGTTTCACTGTGTTAGCCAGGATGGTCTCGATCTCCTGACCTCGTGATCCGCCCGTCTCGGCCTCCCAAAGTGCTGGGATTACAGGCTTGAGCCACCGCGCCCGGCCTGCTGTTTCGGTTTTAAAGGAAATAAAATAATTAAAAAATAAAGTCCTTTGCAGCAACGCAATGACTCTATGAAAGTGCCTACTTCAGTTATGAATCTTGAGATATAACTGGTCAACTCATCTTCAGAGTGTAGAAACAGGCATCAGAAATTAAATAGAAACGAGTACTATATAGCCTTTCTAGTAAAAAAACAAAAACTAAACACTAAAAACGCTAGTCTTTCACCATTTCTTTCATGCAGACAACAACCCTATCCTATCTTCCACACTCAGGAACCAATAAGCAAATCAATCTGCCAGAGAAAATACAGAACTGCCCTGGGAAAATTCTTACCAAACTAATGGAATTTTTGTAATTAAAGAAACAAAAACAACCAACCAACCAAACAAAAAAAGCCCCAGATCTCTTTAACAGTTAGGAATTTTGGGTTGACATTTTCTCTCCTAGAAATTATCAGTAGCAAGAATCTACTGCTCTCTCACTTGAAACACCAGTATCGAGTCAGCACTAACTTAGAAGGAATAGCACCATCTACAGAAATCACTTCCATATCAGAGAATCATTACTAAATTCATTTTCCAACTAGTAGAACCACATCTGTACCTAACTAAACAGGTATGGCTGCCCCTGAGACCTTTTTTATTCTTTCACCCCTCTAGCCCAGGATTATTATTTCCCAATAATCCCACTTACCATTGTTGTTGGCAATTAGTGTGACAAGAGTCTTCTTTGTACTGTCGCTGTTCTGTGCCCCGCTGCTACTAACGGTGGTGGATGTAGAGAGGTGCCCAGCAACAGAAGCATGGGCAGCGATGGGCACTGGAGCCGAGACTGGCTGCTGGCTCACAGAAACTGTGGGGAAGGGGAGGCACAGTCACTTGGAGACAGGGACAGATGACACTAAAGGATACTGCTCTAATCTTCCCTTTCCATCTTCTTGTGGATCTCTATAGCCAAAAAGTTTCCTGTTTCATAAATCCAACTGTTCATGTGATTTCTCCTCCTACTTAACCCTTAGTCCACCATTTAAACACAATCCCTTCTTCTTTGTCTCACATCTCCTGGTTAATTAAGTTACATCACTGAGCCCACTGAACTGGGATTTTAATACTTTGCTTACATAACACTAGCAAACCTCTACGACTCAAAGGTTTATTATTACCACTAGTGGTATTCATAACCATGCACATTAAGCCATCCAAAAAGACCTTGAACTGTGCCCTATTTCAGCCTAAACCAATGCCATCTTCAGGTCTCAAGACAGGAAAGATAAAAATAAAGAGCAACTGGTACAATTTAGGGGAGCAAAAGAACTACCACCCATTTTCTGAATTCAGGGCAATCTAGAATTTGACTCAGCAGTATCACCTTTATGAAAGAAAAGCTAACAAGCCTAAATTTGTAAACTGTCCATGAAGGCAGACACAAGGCAATTTCTACTCTGCTCACAAAGGAAACCAAGTACAAGTAAAACAAAACAAAACAAAAAAGACTATGGGAACCTATTTTTGACTGGGTACATAAATGAGCACTGATACACACACACCACCACTTTGAATTCTTGTTCATATATCTTTTAGTAAGAAGACTGCTAGATATTTGATAAACACTGGTTAATCCAACCTTCCAATGTTTTCAATGAAATAAATATATAATTTCTAGCTATATGGATGAGGAAACTGAGGTTTTCACAGACTACAGCATGGGAAAAAAGGTAGCACCAGTGAGTGCCACAATGAGGTCTCCCTGGATTCTTAAAAGTCCTTTTTCATCTCACACTTTGTTAACCAAAATATCATTCAATTTAATTAATTTAAATCATCTAAGATCAGAAGAGCTTTTGTTACCTGTGGTAGTTTTATCCACTGAATTATAATCTTCAACTACAGAGTCCTCAATGACATCACTGATTTTCTGCCATGGCTCCAACTCCTCCTCCTCACATTCCATGAACAGGTCGGTGTCTGCCATGCTACAAGAAAAACATTCAAATAAGATATGGGCCTAAGAATAGGAGATACTGCTTTATACCAAATATGAAATCAGAACTTTGACTCCATTGGCAACCTACCTCCTTGGACTCCTTTATCATATGCTGCTCTAGCCTTTCTCCATTTCCAAGGGTTCAGAATTACAACTTTTATTCTTGAATATTAGAATCTATTGCACAGCAAATTATTTAATAATTAGGGCTACAGGCCAGGCATGGTGGCTCTGCCTGTAATCCCAGCACTTTGGGAAGCCGAGGCAGGTGGATCACCTGAGGCTGGGAGTTACAGAACCAGACTGGCCAACATGGCAAAACCCTGTCTCTACTCAAAATACAAAAATTAGCCAGGCGTGGCAGTGTGCGCCTGTAATTCCAGCTACTTGGGAGGCTGAGGCACGAGAATCGTTTGAATCCAGGAGGCGGACGTTGCAGGGAGTCGAGATCACAGCACTGCACTCCAGCCTGGGGGATGGAGTGAGACTCTATCTCAAAAAAAAAAAAAAAAAAAATTAGGATTATAAAAGTTTAGGCCAGGCACAGTGGCTCATGCTTGTAATCCCAGCATCTTGGGAGGCTGAGGCGGGTGGATCATGGGGTCAGGAGTTCAAGACCAGCCTGGCCAAGATGGTGAAGCCCCATCTCGACTAAAAATATAAAAATTAGCCGGGCGTGCTGGCAGGCGCCTGTAATCCCAGCTACTTGGGAGGCTGAGGCAGGAGAACTGCTTGAACCCCGGGTGGCAGAGGTTGCAATGAGCCGAGATCGCACCACTGCACTCCAGCCTGGGCAACAGAGACTCCGTCTCAAAAACAACAACGACGACGACAAAAAGTTTAATGTGTAACACCCAGGGCCAGGGTCAGGATGAGGACAGTGAGGTGAGTCAAGCAAGTGCAGGATCGGATTCAGTCTTTATTTAAAATAGATATTTTGTTCAGTATGGACTGTTCTGCATTAACACTGATCTTTTAAAAATGATGCATTAAAATGCATTTATTATGATTACTGAACCTCTCTGTACTGCTTTAAATTTTGCACCTAAGATGAGAACCTCACTTGTCATACTCTAGTCCCAGTCCTACTACTACCTTGTACATCTAGTCTAGGAAATTCTGGAGGCTATTCCACTGTGATTTTGGAGTCAATCCTTAATTTGAAAACACTGCCTAAATTACATGTTCCTTTAAAAAATTGAAGTCTGAGCCGGGTGCAGTCGCTCAAGCCTGTAATTCCAGCACTTTGGGAGGCCGAGGTGGGCGGATCACCTGAGGTCCGGAGTTCGAGACCAGCCTGACCACCATGGAGAAACCCTGCCTCTACTAAAAACACAAAATTAGCCGGGAATGGTGGCACATGCCTGTAATCCCAGCTACTCAGGACGCTGAGGTTGGAGAATCGCTTGAACATGGGAAGTGGAGGTTGCAATGAGCCACAATTCATGCCACAGCACTCCAGCCTGGGCAACAAGAGCGAAACTCCGTCTCAAAAAAAATACAAATAAATAAATAAAGTCTGTATCTCTGCAATGCAAACAAAGAGTTATTGCTATTCGACCCCCCAGTAACAGTTTACTAAGGGTCAGTTTCCTTGTGTTGGAACGCGAATACTATTGCTCTTCAAAGTTCAAACACAGCCTTTACTGCAAAAGCTCTAAGTGTCCTTAGAGTCTTAGTAATTCTGCTGCTACATCCATAAGCGAAAACCAAAACCAACCAACCAACCTAACCATTCTGTTTACTGAATAGTTAGGGCCATACAACTTGACAGTAGCAGTTTGCAAAATGCCCAACAGATGGCATTGTTTCCCTTGAAAATTAAAAATATCTTGCAATGCCCCAGTGATTTAGCTATAGCCAGGGGGAGTTTGGGTTTTAATGAGTAAAGTGTTTAACTGGATTCTAACTGGTCTTTCATCTTCTATTTTAATTATTTCTCTCTTTCTAACCATGAAGCGGGTGAGGAAAGAAAAAGATGTAAGAGATCAACTTAAATTCTCTTATTTTCAGGCTTAATTATATGAAGACAATACTAGCCAGAAACTGAATTAAAAAGAAATCAAATCCATATCACAGGTATTCTTTGAGACAAAGACAACACATGCCTTTGTTTTCCAGTCCAATTCCACTACAAAATATATTTTAAACAATTTTTTCCTTAAATACTTACTTTTATTCCATTGTTCTTTGCTGTGTAACCTTCTGACTGCTTAGAGTCAACAGATAATTAATGCACAAATATCCAACACCCAGCAGAATGAATATAAACTGTGGATAATAACCTCTGCCGATGTTTTTCAAGGACCTACTTTTGTCCTGACCAGTTACAAGCAAACTCTCCACACATATGAAAAACTTTGCTTTGGAATATGAAGAGCTATCAGAATACAAATTGTGGTTTTCAATGTCACGCCTGTGGTTATTTTGGTAGCATATCCAAAAGGGTGTACTTTTATCTTAAGTATTCATAATACCTTAAGAGTTTCAGTTCTTTATTTTATAAAGCAATGAATTATAATAAGAATATTGAAATTTCTTCCATTTGACCTTGAGAGAAATGGAAAGAACTCCAGCTTGGGTAACATAGCAAGACTCCATCTCTACAAAAATTTTTAAAAAATTAGCCAGGTGTGCGGCACACACCAGTGGTCCCAGCTACTTGGGAGGACGAGGTAGGAGGATCGCTCGAGGCCAGGAGTTCGAGGTTACAGTGAGCTCAAGGTTACAGTAACTGCAGTGGTGCCATTGTACTCCAGCCTAGGCTGGAGAGCTGGAGAGCAATACCCCATCCCTACAAAATAAAAAAATGAAAAATAAATGGAATAACCAAAAAGGGTAGATCTGAAAAGATGGCAAAGAAAGATGTTTATGTCCTAACTACTTTTTAATCAAGTGAGAAAAATATCTCTTCTCCTTAGGTATGAGTACTGCCAAGATATCCAATGTAAATTAAAAGACTCAAAATGAAAAGAAAATCCAGCTTGGCCAGACACGGTGGCTCACACATGTAAACTCAACAATTTGGGATGCCAAGAAGGGTGGATCATTTGATGTCAGGAGTTCCAGACCAGCCTGGCCAACATGGTGAACTGAAACCCCACCTCTACTAAAAATACAAAAAGTAGCCGGACATGGTGGCACATGCCTGTAATCCCAGCAACTGGGGAAGCTGAGGCAGAAGAATCGCTTCAACCCAGGAGGCAGAGGTTGCAGTGAGCCAAGATCGCGCCACTGCACTCCAGCCTGGGCAACAGAAGCCAGACTCCGTCTCAAAAAAAAAAAAAAAAAAAAAAGAAAAGAAAAAAAGGAAATCCAACTTATGGGGAAATATTTTTCATGTTTTTTTTTAACAACACAGAAGATGGAGTTAGTTAACAGGGTTTGTCAACTCAGAAAATATTAGGTCTGCTGACTGAACATATTTCACAAATGTACAAAGCATCTTTGAAGACACTGAAGCCAAGTTTTTCAAAACTGTCCTTGATTCTGACCTACACTCTGGTATCTCAGGATGTGATCAATTCCTTTCACTTTCAGCATCTATAACTCAGGGTCAAAAACATGATACAACAGAGACATAGCAACCTAATGTAAATACTTAGCAAACCAAAAATAGAAATCGCAAATTTAGATCCTTCTTCTAGTTTTCTAGTTATTAAAAGGAAACCTTTACTAACATAATAAAATGCAGTATTTAATATTTCTACCAAGATTCTCAGGGAACACCACCATTCTCTGTGGTCTTTCAAGTGATCCATGGCATACAATCTCCTTTCAATTTTTTTTTTTTTTTTAAAGCCCCGATCAGGGCAAGGACAGCCTTTCAACTAGTTTTGAACAAAGAAGACAGGAATTACCAAATATGCAGTGTCAACATGTACATCCAGATTCTGAAAATGGGCCCCCCACCAAAAAAAAATATATCTTCCCAAACTATCATTCCACACATTTAACCTCTTTCTATACCAAATCTTTCCCATAAAGGAAAAAACAAAACAAAACAAAACACAATGCATTTATTCCCCCTCTTCCCTAATTTCTTGCTATGAAGGACTGGATACTTATCACACTAAAAAAAAATTACGTTGAAATGTAATCCTTAATTAAGGGGCATTTTACTTTCTCGTTTTTTATTTCAAAACTGCCAAATAGAAATGCGAATTTCAGGTATTAAAGGCCAGCCCATAGTGAATACAGTGCTACATCAAGAAGAAAAGGGCCAGGCGCGGTGGCTCATGCCTGTAATCCCAACACTTTGGGAGGCCGAGGCAGGGGGATCACCTGAGGTCAAGAGTTCGAGACTAGCCTGGCCAACACAGTGAAACCCTATCTCTACTAAAAATACAAAAATTAGCCAGGTGTGGTGGCACAAGCCTGTAATCCCAGTACTCAGGAGGCTGAGGTAGGAGAATCACTTGAACCTGTGAGGAGTAGGTTGCAGAGAGCTGAGATTGTGCCACTGCACTCTAGCCTGGGCGACAGAGCGAATCTCAAAAAAAAAAGGAAAACTTGGATGGGCAGTAAATTTGGGACTCATACTGCAACCAAGTGAAGAGGCAAATTTTCATACTACAACTATGAGTCTCTGAATCAATATTGTAGTGGTTCCTTTTCTGCTATTTTTAATGAGATACAAATTTTAATTGAATACAAAAGTTTACTCAGATACGTATCTGTCACTCAGTTTCAAAAACTACCAACTCAAAACGGATTCCATCATTTATGCCCCCACTTCTCCATATTATTTTGAAGCAAATCTCTAAAATATCATATTCACAAATATTTTGGTATGTAGCTCTGAAAGATAAGGACTTTAAAAGATTATAGTTTAGAAAAATTGTACGGCCAGGTGTGGTGGCTCAAGCCTGTAATCCCAGCACTTTGGAAGGCTAAGAGGGGTGGATCACATGAGGCAAGGAATTTGAGATCAGCCAGGATAACACAGTGAAACCCTGTCTCTACTAAAAATATAAAAATTAGCCAGGT